TATGCCTGCAAAGTGTGTCTCCAGCGTCTCTCCAAGATTTCACTATAGGAGGGTCACTTTCTGCTTCCTACCTCTAGCCGCCATCTTGGAATCCCCTCTAGGATTCTAATTTTATGTGTGTTGCCTTTGGATGTCCCTTAGGCTTTGAAAACAAGTAATTTACCCATGAAAAATATAAAAGTGAATTGAGTATTTTAAATTAAGATAACCAAATATATAAACACAAAATTTATGTCAGTAGCCCTGAAAGAGGTTTTAATACTCTTCTGACCCTGACTACTAGTTTAATCTCACATATCAGCAAAATCAATCTAGCAGGTACATTCAATATGATGACTAGGGTTTGGGGAAATTAGGGAACATTAGTAATCAAGAGCTAACACTTTGATTTGGGGTCTGTTTCAAATAAAAGTTCTTAAGTATTTCCTGGTGTTAATCATGTTATTTATTAATAACCAGATGCTTGATAAGCATATTTCCTTTTTAGAATTTCCCAATAAAAATCTAATGCCTTAATTTATGCATCAATGGATTCTGTTTTGTCGCCCAAGTTTCATAAAAAAAAAATGCTTGAAAAACCTGTTTCCTAAGGGATTTTTTAGATGCACATTGCCACTTTGTTATATACATGAAGATTTATGACCAGATTCATATGGTAGATATTTTTCAAGACAATTTTGTGAAGATATACTGTTTTATTTTTTCAGGGATATTTGAAATATGGCTCAGAGTGACTTCCTCTACCCAGAAAACCCAAGGAGAAGGCAAGAAGTAAGCCGCCTACACCAGCAGCTCCTTGACTGCTTATCTGACAGCTTCCAAGCCACCAATAAACTAATTGGAGTTCTAAATACGCACCTGGGGTGCAGGCTAGACTTCATTGAAATGAAAAGACATGGGACCATCAAAGAAAATTGTGATATTATCATTCAAGCCATTATGAAAATCCAAAAGGAATTGCAAATGGTGGATGAAGCACTGAAAGATAAACTAGAGCCAACCCTTTATAGAAAACTTCAGGATATTAAGGAAAGGGAAACAGAGAAAATTGCAATCGTACAAAAGGTTATATCAGTCATCCTGGGAGAAGCTACATCTGCAGCCAGTGCAGTGGCTGTTAAACTTGTGGGCTCCAATGTCACAAGTGGCATAATTAACAAGCTGGTCACTGTACTAACTCAAATTGGTGCTTCTCTCCTTGGAAGTATTGGAGTGGCTGTTCTTGGCCTTGGCATAGATATGATCTTCCGTGCCATCCTGGGAGCAGTGGAGAAAACACAGCTTCAAGCCGCCATCAAAAGTTATGAGAAGCATTTGGTGGAGTTCAAGTCAGCCTCAGAAAAATATCACCATGCCATTACTGAGGTCACCAATACAGTGAAACGCAAATGAAATGAACAGTCATTTTATTTACCGCAGGAATATTTCTGCTTCCTTCTCAATAATAGTGCTTGTTTCTTTGATTACGCTCATTTTTATGCTTCCTTTATGGACATAAAAAGGTTAAAGACAATTAGAAAGAGGAACTGGAGATGCTAAAACTAAATGACTTGAATACTGTATCAACAATGAATGAGTGGACCAGTTGGTGCTAGACCCTGCCAGGTAAAAGGTTGTATCTCAGGATGTTTTGTCATCCTCCTCTACCAGATCCACATTGGGGTAAATATTATCAGAGGGCAGCAGGCAGCATAAGGGTTATGTTTTCCTTCTCTAATTTCTAGTCAAAATCCTTAAACATTTACATTAAATGCAGACACTTTCATTTTCTGCCACTAGCTTCAAAGACAGCTTAGTTCTAGGAAAACATACTTATTATCTCCTGGTTAGACACAAACCTGGGGCCTTCAAATGAAAAAGTAATACGATCATACTTTTCACCAGTAGATTAAATCCAGTTTTCTGTAAATTGAAAGAGACTGAAAAAGTTTGTAATAATTTGCTTTGATGACTAAAGGAGGAAATAGATTTGTGAACTTCTACTAACTACATAATGTAACTTGGATGGATTAAAAAAAAAAGCAAAAAATGGCAAAAACTGTTCCTATACTTGCAGTCAACACTGATCAACTGTGGTAACTAAATACCATTCCAGTGACTGAATACTCTGGACCATTTTAAAAAAACAAACAAGCAAGCAAACCCTGGTTATACATAAATAAAATGCTTTCCATATGCGTAAGAGGAACTTAACTACTCTTTAAGAATTTGTTATTTAAAATAAAGTTCTAATTTATTACACTATGAGTTTTCCGGTGGAGTGGTGGGGGAAGAGAATATCTCATTTTCAATACTAGCAGAAAGGAGACAGCTACCTCTGCTAACATAAAGCATTAAGTGGTCTGTTTCACTAGTTATCTGATTTTAGAAAAAAATCAAAGGCTATAAAGGCCCACAGTTCAGCTTACCTTCTGTAAATGCAAGTCTTTGTTTTCTAAAGCCTTCGCCAAGTAATTAATGCCATTGAGTCTCCTTTAGAGTCTACTCCCAAAATTATTATATTGATGTGAGAATGTGCTCATCACAGTTCACTCTTAATCCAACTACAAAAAAGTCTTGAAATTTAAAAATGCTCAATGATATCTCAATTTTTTTTCACATACTATTAAGGGCACATTTAAATATTCTGCTAAAAATGAATACACGTCTCCACCAATATTTTAGCTGCTTACTGATAGTAACCTAAAACTTAATTTTTCTGTAGGTTTTCTAATTCTCAGAATAAGATTAGAAATAATTTCATGTCCTTTAAGAGCAGGGGAAAAACGCCTTCAAGGAGAAGATGAAGAGGGATTTTAAGAAAGCATAAAAAGTGAAGAGGAAGACTAGAGATGAGTGAATTATCCCGTATCTATGACATGACAAAGTGCTCTGGGCTGGTGAAAAGACCAGTAGGGGAGGAAGCTAATGTATACCAACCTCGCCTCTAGAGATTTTAAAACTGCATGTGTATCCTCACATTTTTCTCTCCAAAAAATTACTCCTGCAGACTCCCCTGGGTCTCTACTACGGACCCTGACTTATTCAGGTCTACACACGTTTTGTGTTTAAGAGCCACTCACGGATTTTCCAAATGCACCAGGCGCCCACATGGGTTGATCTCATTCCTGCCGAGCCCATTAAACTTAGTGGCGTTATTCGAGGACTCGTTTTCAAATGGAGACACTCCCAAAGTGTCGTGCTTGCTTACATACAACAGTAACACAATCCAAACGGACAGAAACTAGGCAAAATACCTCCACGTTTTCCGCATATAGCAGGACTGGGTAGCTCAAAGCAAGGAGTTCCAGGAAATCAGCCAATCAGATACCAGTTCCTTTTTCTTATTCCTATTGGATTATACTGTGTCAATCGACGTGGACTGAGGCGGGCCCTTAGCTGACAACCAACCAATTGGCTATTGAATGAGACCGGAAGCCCTTCTGTCCCACAGTTCTACGGTCTTCTCTATGGTTCTAGGGCTGAGCAACGCTAAGAGATCCGCCGAGGAATAGGAAGTGACGTAAGGGTGGCGGAGGAGCGCGAGGTTTCAAGATGGCGGTGGCTGGGTGGTTGACCGAGAGGCAGAGGTGAAGGCCCCTACGAAGTAAAAGAGGCTGGGAACCGCCCCCTACCCGCTTCTCGCAATCCTGGGAGCCCAACAGTAGTGTGAGTGTTTGGGGACTGCTTTACGCCGCTTCTCCGTGTCTCCCGTCCCTTCTGACACCCGCGCGGTTGCCTCGGGGACACCAGGCCCCTTCACCCCGCTCTTCTCTCCCTGGTTGGGGTGGCCCCAGTAGCGGCCTGGAGATCCCTGGGACTGGCGTGGCGCAGCGTCCAGCGGTTACGTGGCGGGCGACTTCGCCCGATCACTTGGCGCGACTTCCTGGGCACGTAGATCCTTTCGGTGTCAACCGTCGCCATGGTTTCGGCGGTTGCCGCTGCTGTTGCCTCCTTTGGTGGCCCTGGACCCCGTCCCATGGAAACGCTTGGCCACATAGAGTCCCCCTCGATTTTTTGGCCCGATTTCCCGATCGCCCCTGCTTTTAGACAGAAAGGTAGCTTACGTAGACTGTTCCATCGTCTTTTGTAAAAATGCTCTGTAATCAGTATCAGTTATGTATTTAGGTTTGGGGAGCAGAGGGTCAAAACATGAGTTTGAGGATAAATCATAAAGGAAAACAAAAAAGAGCAGGCAAAGGTGCGAGATCCTATATTTGGAATATTTTTTGCTGGTTCTCTCCATTCACTGCCTGTGCTCTTCCGGCACCCCACCCCCGGTTTTTCTGAGAATGAAACACTTCTGCGGTAATTGCAGCTGGAACGTCTCTGAAACATGCAGCAGAAATCCAGGTGATTGAACACTTGGTGAAAGAGACGTGAGCTGTAAAACCGGACAACAAACGTGCAAAGGAAAGTTGCCCATTGTATGGGCTACCAAGAAATTTGCTTCACGACCTTCTCTCCCCCACGCTTCAGAAGTGTCTGCTTTCAAAAAGAAGAAAATTTGCCAGTCTTTATTATTGGGAAGACTTAAGTTTCAAAAAGTTAAACTTCCCTTTGGAACAAAAAGGAAAGAAGTGATGGTTGTAAATTTTGGGTTTAAAAAATGTTTTCCTCCCTGGCGCTGGTGGCCCACGCCTGTAATGCTTGCTGATCAGGAAGATCATGGTTCCAAGCCAGCCCAGGCAAATAGTTCACAAGACCCTATCTCGAAAAAACCCATCACAAAAAGAGGATTGGTGGGGCCCAGAGTTCAAACCCCAGTACCACACACACACACAAAAATCTTGTTCCCAAACACAGTTCCCTCTGTCAACTACCTTGAAGAAAAATACAAATTAGGAATCAAATAGGTACTACTAAGAAAAATATTTATCCTAATGTTGAAGTTTTGGAAGTGCTTTTAATATAATGCTAATTTTGAATATTTCATCTTTAGAGATGCTAAAGCATCTCCAGTGATGCCCTAAGCCTTTACTTATTAGTACTAAATCTGGATTAAATATGCCTGAATTAATGAATTTTACTGTCTCTGAGTGGTAGGAAAGGTACACATACATGCCAAGAAAAATCATGGAAAAAGGCAAACGGAAAGTGTTTGTCTTTGAGCCCACGTCCCTTATCCCCATTCCCTTTTTAGTCTTCTACCCTGTATGTAAAGAAAGGGAGGTTGTAGAAAAAGACATGAAATAGGGGCTTCCTATATTCATGGTTTGTGTCATGTTGTTAAGATATTTCCTACCTGATTTTTTTTGAGTTGACAGTGATGTTATATGGAAAATGTTAAACTGATGACTTAATAACGTGGTCTTTGGACACTTTACCTTTGTGGCTAAGAAACAATAAGGCCTCACAAAATTAATAATAAAAGAGAATTCTTTCCAGAGATTGATAGGAACTTTGAAAAGAAAGCAATGTTACAAATATAAAAAAGAAATCTATTTCTTTGTCTTGGCAGGTTTTTCTTTTTTTAATGAATAAGTGAACCATACAAATTGTCAACATGGGACGGAGATCAACATCATCCACCAAGAGTGGAAAATTTATGAACCCTACAGACCAAGCCCGTAAGTATCCATTGCTATAGAATGATGGAGAGGAATGTTAAAAATTGTAAATAACGTATTTCATTGTGGCTTATTTACCAAGATTAGTGGTGACAATAGTTATCTGGTGTTCTTGTGCAAATAAATTAGTACCCACATTTTGTTTTTTCGAATTTGACATGCAAAGTAAAATGGCTTTCTGTTTGGAATTTTAAACAAATTAGTTTTTGCAAGTTCTCATTTAGTAGTTTATTGTGTCTTTTTTGTTAAGGTTCATAGTTATTTTCTAAGCCATTTTGGGTTGTCATGATTAGAGGAGAGAGATGCTATTGTCATCAATATTTAGCAGCAGCTAAATATACTGTTATGCATGGGATGATCTCATAGTAAAGAATTATCTATTAAATTGGAGAAAATATTAATGTTCAAGATTTGAAAGTTATATCATCTTTCCTTCTCTCCCTTTTAAGGAAAGGAAGCCCGGAAAAGAGAATTAAAAAAGGTATGAATTCAGAAGTATTCTGTGTGTTGTGCAGCACATCTTGTTGTGTGGTATTTGTAGATTTCAAAATATAATTTCTAGTTATTTGCCAGAAAAGATCCTTTATGCATCTGAAACTTACATAACATTTACTAAGTTCATAGTTGATTATAATGACATTTTTATTTGATTATCTTTCCCTGTAAGTAAACCAGTACTTTTGAAAATAACTTTTTTGCGGCTTATCAAAACATAACTTCTTTGCTGAAAGTTACTGAATGGAAGCCAGGCACAGGAGGCTCACGCCTGTAATCCTAGTTACCCCTGAGACTGAGATTGGGAGAATGGGATCGAGATTCGAGGCCAGCCTTGGCAAATAGTTCCTGAGAACCCCATCTCCAAAAAAATAAAAATAACCAGAGCAAAATATACAAGAAGCGTGACTCAGGCAATAGAGTGCCTGCTTTACAAGTGCAAAGCCCTGAGTTGAAACCACAATCCCACCAAAAAAGTTATTGAATGGAAATAAATGCACTGCTAGATATCTTTGTGTCCAGTTTCCTGACTAGTTAGTTGCAGGATGTGTTGGAAAATACTTCAACAAAATAATAAAGGAGTAAGTTTACAGTATCATGGTTTAATCTGAGAGAACTCAGATTTTTAATAATTTTCCATTGTGTATTCTTTATTGTTGTTTAGCATCAAATCTTGCAAACCTATTCCCTATTCCAATGTATAATTTTTTTAATTTAGCTGCAAAGTTGGTTTTTAAGTTTTTTTAAGTAACTGCAAAAGATCTCACAATGTTGAAAGATACTTGACTAAGAAGGTATCTTTTTGACTGAAGTCTAAACATTTTTGATAGCAAAAAATTACATGCCTGTTTCTGGTAGTTAAAAGATGATCAGAGACCTAGGGGAAATTCAGATTTCTGTTTAAATCTTTGAAGGAAATTGAAATAAAAACTCATCAGCTTCCAGCTTCTTAGCATCCTGTTCTTTCATTTCTAAGAACAAAAAGCAGCGCATGATGGTTCGAGCTGCAGTTTTGAAAATGAAAGATCCAAAACAGATTATCCGTGACATGGAGAAACTGGATGAAATGGGTAAGAATTTGTAAAAAGTTTCAATTTTAATGTCAGCTATACTAATCCCATTGAGAAGATCCAGAAAGAAATTTGACTGGTAAGAATGTAGAAGAATTCACATAGGGATGCTTCTCAACTTTTGGAGTCGCATCCCAGTAAGCCACTTAAATTGCCTTCAATACACCTACCTGCTGAACATCATAGCTTAGCCAGCCTACTTTAAGTGTGTGCGTGTTGCTTGCCTTAACCTTCAGTTAGGCAAAATCATCCAACTCAAAAGTGTTTTATAATAAAGTATTGAATCACATGTAATTTACCGACTACTGTACTGGAGGTGAAAACAGAATGGTTGTATGGGCACTTGAGGAGTTGCCACTGAATGATTACAGCTTCACACTAAGTGGAGCCATTCTAAGTAGAACCGTCCTCTTAAGTTGTTTGAGAATTAGCTGCCTCTGGAAATTTTATGTCACCAACAAATACCCTTTCTATTATACAACATGTAGGGGTTTTTAAACATGCAAAAAATAAACTCCTATGGGTTTTTCAGCTATCTATCACTTTTTTGCCAGTTCTGTCTTCTTCCTACATGCCACTCTTTTTCCTGTTGTTTTCAAGTTTTGTTCACAAAGATACTCAAACGGATTCAATGGTTTATCTAAAAACAGTAGTAAATGAAAAAGGTACACTGAATCTCTTCTGTGACACATCAATTGGGGTTCAAATATTTAATCATAGGGGGTTATAGTGGCAAAGTTTCTGAATAATGAGGAATCCATGTAGCTAGCCTGGGCAAGAGTTGTAGGTGAGGATCCTTAATCCTTCCCAGTCAGCTGTAACTGATTCCACTCTTCTCTGGTTTAAATATCAATAAGGACAATTACGTTCCCTAGGATTGCACACAATATCCTGCTAAAGAATCCAAAATTGTTATATGTTGTTTTAAAAGGAGATAATGATAGTAACAAGTTGCTCCAAGTTTTCTAGATTTTATCGTTTCATCCCCACCCAACTTTTAGGGTAGGTACAGGTCCCTATTTTGCAGGTACGGAAGCTCAAGAGGGCACAGAGAAGTTGCAAGATCTTCTCAAAGTCACTGTGCTATGTCAAGGCAAAGCTGGTATTAAAACACTTAACTTACCAGGAATTGTGTAGAAATACGCCTTCTGGACTTGAGTAAATCGTCAAGGCTAATAATTAATGGATTATATTTAATAGAATTCTGTTTAGGATATAATAGGATTATATTTCAGTGCCTAGAAGTGAAGCAAAATACCACTGGATATTTTATTTGTGATCCCATTTTATCGGAGCTTTGGTATTAAGGAATTGATGTCCTCATTTTCCAGATGAGGAAGCTAAAGAGCAGAGAATTCAAGTAAATAACCCAAGATTTCAGACTTAAATGCCAGAACCAGTGTAATATATAAGTCCAGGTGTGTCTGATGGAAACTTCACTTTACCAGATTTTTCAACATGGGATATGCTTACAATGGTTGATTGTAATAAGTTGTGTAAATTGATTTTTATTATAACAAAATGGAAATCAATTGCATTTCATTTCTGAGAAATGAAAAATTTATGGACATCTAAAAAGGGTTTAAGTACGGAAATGAAGTAGCCCTTTCTTTATGGTTTTGTAATCTGCTTTTTCTTTTAGAGTTTAACCCAGTACAACAGCCACAGCTAAATGAGAAAGTACTGAAAGACAAGCGTAAAAAGCTACGTGAAACCTTTGAACGTATTCTACGACTATATGAAAAAGAGAATCCAGATATTTACAAAGAACTGAGAAAGCTAGAAGTAGAATATGAACAGAAGAGGGCCCAACTTAGCCAATATTTTGATGCCGTCAAGGTAATCAAGTTTCTCTTGAGAGACAAACTAAAATGTTAGATTTCTTCTTAAAAGTTAATGGGAGAATTGATCACATCATACCTTCTCTTCTTAGTAATTTCTAGTAAAACTAAACATGCACTTACTCTATATACCAACGAATCTAATCCCCTGTATTTAAACAAGAGAAATTAATCTGTTTTCCAATGCAGTAATAACCCAAACTGAGCAACAGCACACATGTTCGCTAATTGCAATAGGGGGTGATCAAATTGGAGTATTTTTACACAATAGAGTACTACTCTGAAATTAAAAAAAAAAAAAGTAATCTGTTGATAGTCAAAACAACTTGGAATTAAAAAAAAAAAAATTAAGCCAATCACTGGTGGCTCACACCTATAATCCTAGCCACGTAGAAGGCTGAGATCCAGAGGATTGCAGTTCATGGCCAGCAAAAAAGTTTGCAAGACCTCATCTCAGCAGAAAAAGCTGATTGTGGTGGTGCATGCTTGTTACCCCAGCAGTGGCAGTTAGTGTAAAATAGAATCAGTGTCCAGGCTGGCCTGGGCAAAAAGTGAGACCCTATCTCCAAAATAACCACAGCCAAAACGGCTGAGGGTGTGGCTCAATCAGTAGAGCACCTGCTTAGCAAGCAGAAAACCCTGAGCTCATACCCCAGTGCTGCCTCCCCCACCCAAAAAAAAATGTTAAAAACAACATGGCTAAATCCCTGAATCCATGCCAAACTGCTTTAATGGTTATTACTCCATTCCAGGACAAGCAAAACTGATCTATGGAGGGGAAAAAAAATGTTAATTATTCTTAAGCAGCAGTTGTTGCCTTGGATGGTGTTAGGGATTGATTGAGAAGAGATAAAAGGTGTATGCATTTGTCAAAACTCACTGAATTTGTATATTCCATTGTACATTTTACTTAAGAAATGGGGAGGAGGGTGCCCAAATGGTATAATTTTTGTGAAGTAAGTAGTTTGCATCCCGTTTTGCAGGAAACTTAAGATAACTTGCTTAGTGGCATACAGATAATGCAGGGCAAAAACACAACAAAGGCAGACTTATTTTAGAGCCCAAGCTATACCACTGGATATTTACTATTTATTAATTGATACATATTATTGTGCAGAATATTGAATAGTTACTGAACAAATTTCTCTACACAGCTATTTCAAATCATATCCAAAAAAAATAAGCTGATAATGAGAGGCTTTAAAAAAAAAAAAAGGCAGCTGGATTTTGGTTTTCTATAGAACAAGATAAAGATTTCTCTTAATTCTTGATTCTTAGGAGTATTGACTTAAAGCTTTTGGTTCTTGTTTTTTTCATGATATTAAATGTTCATTGGAAAGCAAAATCAGGTTATAAAATAGTGACATGGAATTTTCCATGTTAAAGTAAATTATTTTGATTACTTTTTTTTGTGTATAATTAAAATTTTCTATTTCAGAATGCCCAGCATGTGGAAGTAGAGAGTATTCCTTTGCCAGATATGCCTCATGCTCCTTCCAACATCTTGATCCAGGACATTCCACTTCCTGGGGCCCAGCCTCCCTCCATCCTTAAGAAGACCTCAGCTTATGGGTAAGCAGTGACATAATCAAAGATCACGTACTAAAACCATCTTTTGACAGTGAAGCCAAAATTAATGCAGCAAGTAACAAAAGATAAGATGGATATAAGGAATGTAACATTTGGTTAATTGAAGAGTAAGCAATTCCTTGGAAACTGGTTAGAAGGGAAAGTAAGTATTCTCACTGCAGTTTTATAATCACATAATGACATCAAATTTTCTTACAGACCTCCAACTCGAGCAGTTTCTATCCTTCCTCTTCTTGGACATGGTGTTCCACGTTTGCCCCCTGGCAGAAAACCACCTGGCCCTCCGCCTGGCCCACCTCCTCCCCAAGTTTTACAGATGTATGGCCGTAAAGTGGGCTTTGCTCTAGATCTTCCCCCACGAAGGCGGGATGAAGACATGTTATATAGTCCTGAACTTGGTAAGGAGTGTCTGTTCTTTTCACCATTAGAACCTTTTCACTGTGGCCCTACTTAGCACCATCAGAACTTAGGAAATAATTAAGGATACCATGTGCATGTGAATGTGTATACAGATGAACAAATCATAGGATCTACTTGAATACAGGCATCATACATAAGGATGTGTGGAAGTGTTCGTGGTGTTTTACATTAGACTTTTCTTGGAGATGTCACTTTCTTACCAGTCCCTTAAGACCTGGGTTCCTGTTTCCCTTTCAGCTTTCTCGTCATCATTCTCAAGCATCATTGTATGTAGTTAATGATTGCATGTGAGGTCATACCCAGAATTGTCTAAGTAGAATATGTTTTCAAATTTGAACCTCTTTTTAAAAAAAAAAAACTCAACATTACCAAAAAGAAGTATATAAAACTTTTAATTGGTGAACATAGAATAGCTAAGATTATATATAGAATTTTTATTTAAACAATTAAGTGTTAACTCTAAGTGAGCATAGTTTTCAGTATGTCTGGGTACCACATGGTGGACAGCTAGTCACATTACTTGTTCTATCCCATTTTTCAGCTCAACGGGGCCACGATGATGATGTTTCCAGCACTAGTGAAGATGATGGCTATCCTGAAGACATGGACCAAGATAAGCATGATGACAGTACTGATGATAGTGACACTGATAGATCGGATGGAGAAAGTGAGGGGGATGAGTATGTGCACCGTGATGACAGTGAGCGAGACAACACTGAAGAGAAAAAGTCAGGTCTGTACACGGGGACATTCCATAGTATTTGTCAGTAAATAGACAAAGCTAAAGCTTTAAATTTATTAGTGGATGAAAGTAATAGTGAGTTATTTGAAAGGAGGGATCATTAATTGTATTCATCTTTATTTCAATATTTTGAAAGTTTTTGACATATTCAGTAGATGCTTGTGAGTAATATTGTATGTAATTTTTTAAAAGTCTTTGTATCAACTAGGCGCTGGTGGTTCACACCTGTAATCCTAGCTACGCAGGAGGCAGAGATCAGAAGGATCGTGATTCAAAGCTAGCCTGAGCAAGTAATTCATGAGCCCCTATCTCAAAAAAAAAAAAAAAATCACAGAAAAGGGCTCATGGGAGTGGCTCAGGTTTAGGCCCTGAGTTCAAACCCTATCGCAAACAAAAAAAAAAAAGAAAGAAAAAGTCTTTATAGTAAATTCCACTTTGGGGCAAAAAGACACCTATTCAACAGCATAAAGATGCACTGTTGGATGCACTGTAGGAAAGAAAGGTGATGAACCACGTTGTTTCTCAATAAGCTTACTTAAATGTCTACTGGAAGCCCTTTACGTTTTAACACATCTATAAGTGGAATCATGGACCATATTTTATCTATAATGTATTTTGTAGTGCCAAGAAAATTCTAAACATTTAACAATGCTAAATATACTCTAGTTCTGTCGAGCCTCAGTAGTTTTGGAGCTTCTGTGGGGATTTTGTTTAATGCTAATATTAGTATTCAGAAAGATGAGCTTTCTCTCCTATTTCTTAAGAATCATGATTGCAAATGAAAAGGCTGGTTTAAAACATAGTAGAAAGAGTTGGCATTAGAAAATTATAAAGACTTTTAGGTGGGAACTATTTTATAGTAGAAAGCAATTAGAGCTACTGCAGCTCCATTTTTCTGTAGACTGTGTGGTGCCTTGCCTATTTTCCTTTTTCTGCCAACTTTTTTTTTTTTTTAACATATTGATTGGCATGTGTTCTACAAATGGCTGTCCTTACTCTGACTGATACGCTTTCTTTCAACTAATGTTTATTGTTTTTAACTGTATAAAAGACATTTTTTAGGCACTAAGTATACAGAATAAACAAACTAAAGCCCTGTGTGCATAGAACTTTTATCCTCCCTCAGTGTTTACCACATAAGACTGCTCCTGACACTGACCATTCAGAATAATGTCTAGTGGATAGCCTTTGCCATGTGAAGAAGCCTTCTTTCTGTTGCAGTTTGCTAGGGAGAGGAGAGATGTTTGACCATATTTTTTAAGCATTTGTTGGGATGTTACAGAGTTATTTTATTGTAGTGAATTACATTACTAACTTTCCTAATATTAAACCTTGCATTTCTGGGACCAACATGCATGCTCATGATGTATTTTTTCTTTTAAAACACTGTTAGATTCAATTTGTTTATATTTTTATATTGGATAGTAGGTTAGTTTTGGTTATCAGGGTTATGCTACCTTTGCATAGCATTCCATCTTTTACTGTAACCTTTTTCAGGAGATTTTTTAATGGCTGCTGAATTTCTTCATAAAATTATTTGTTGCCTTTAAGGGAGTAGATCTTTACCAGTTTTATATTCTCTGGGCTTATCATTCCTTTGGCCAATTTTAATTCATTAGTATTTTTCTAAAAAAATGTTTTCATCTAGGTCAATTTTATTCACATACAGGTTATTAATAGTAGTCTTAACAATTTGTTGCCAGGCCCTGGTGGCAAGTAATCCTAGCTTACTTGGGAGGCTGAGTTCAGGAGGATTGTGGTTCCAGGCCAGCCCTGTGCAAAAAAGTTTACGAGACCCCACCTCAGTAGGAGTGGAGTTCTGAGTGTGGTGGTGCACACCTGTCATCCCAGTGATGATGGGAAGTTTACAATAGAACCTCCATCCAGGCAGGCCCCAAGCAAAAAGTGAAACCCTACCTCCAAAAAGGACTGAAGGCATGGCTCAAGTGGTAGAGCACCTGCCCTTAATTCAAACCCTGTACTGCCAAAAAAGATTTTTGTTTTATTTATAAATCTGAAGCCACTATAGCACCTGTTTACCATCTTTTGCACTTCATTTTTTTTTTTTTTTTAAGTTTTGGGGTTTGAACTCAAGGCCTCATATTGCTAGGCAGGCCCTCTTACTGCTTGAGCCACTCCACCAGCCTTTTTTTTTTTGGTATGTGTGTTGGGTATTTTTGAGATAGAGTCTCGTGAACTGTTTTCACCAGACTGGCCTTAAACCACAATCCTCCTGATTTCTGCCTCCAGATTAGCTAGGATTTCAGGCATGAGTCACCAGTGCCTGGCTTATTCACTATCTTACAGAGGGCTATGTCTTTTTTGCACTTCTGCCAAATAATGGATTATAGTCACGCATAGTGCTTTACAGTGTTTGTTTTATAGTGAACATTTACTAAATTTTATTGATCACTATCCATCCCGCTTCTACCCTTCCTCCCTTGTTCCCCTTAGGTCTGAGTGTACGATTTGCAGATATGCCTGGAAAATCAAGGAAGAAAAAGAAGAACATGAAGGAGCTGACACCTCTTCAAGCTATGATGCTTCGAATGGCAGGTAAGGCAAGGAAATAGACCCAAATCACCGTTTGTATTTCCTTATGCTGGTGGCTTTGTGTACATTTTTCCATTTAGTATCCCAGCAGTATCCCAGCAACCCTGAAGTAAGTGAAAATTTGTGTTTCACAAAAATTAAGTTTTGAAGCCATTAGGTAAGCTTCCCAAAGTTACACAGCTAGTAAGTTGTTGACGGCGTTTATGTTCAGGTTTGTCTTGTTATAAAGCCCTGGGTTGCCAGCAGCACAGCAACTAAAAGATAGCATAGATTAATGGGACCTCATAAAACTAAAAAGCTTCTGTTCATCAAAAGAAATGGTCTCTAAACTGAAGAGAACACCCACAGAGTGGGA